TGAAATCATGACACTAAAATGTCATTTCTAACTGATCAGCTACAATACATCCTAATAAATGTACTTCCTAGAACTAATGGATATCTCTTGAATATTAGGTTTATGTAAACTGATGCACCTCTTACATATGCAATGGCAAAAAACAGGAGATTGATGAGACAAAGTTGTTATTGTCCATACTTATTTAACTCAATATAAGAATGGTAGGAGTGAAAAAGATGACAGCTGATAGAGGAGGCTAAAATACTAATACTTTGATACATTCAGACAAAATTCCTTCCTAGCTAAAGACAAGGAATACTTAGGATAGCTCACTGTGAACATAAAAATGGAAACTGAAAAATCTTGGTTAATATAAATATAAAGAAGAATATAGTAATATCAAATAGGAAGCTAAGTGGAGTTACAGTTGATGTCAAAATAGAAATGGTAAATAGTTTTGTGTCTTGGAAGTTTTGTTTCTTGGACACAAGATAGAGATGCATAGTGTGTTTGAAAAGTAAAGGAAATTAATCTTGGGGAGGAATGCAATGACAAAGTTAGACAAGATAATGAAGAATAAGATTATTTCTAGGTCAGGAAAGGTTTATTTTTAATAGATATACATAATTCAAATTTCTACTTCCTCTCTTTCAAGTGATATTACTATGATATACCATATTACCTACAACCTATAATACTTTACTGAAGTTTCCATCATTGTGAATTACAAAGCACATACTTTGGTGGTATTCTTGATTTCAGGTTTGTATCCAGAGGCTCAGATGGCAGCTTTTGCCAGAGTTTCTCCTTGTTAAATTCAAACAACTCATCTCCCATTAACTAGTGAGATCTGATCTGGTCATGGTAACACAAATCTTATTTATATCTAAAAGTAAATAACTACAATGAACTCTTTTAGATCTTTTAGAATGCAAAACAGAGAGAATAATGGTTGGCACTCACTTTTGTCACACACAAATATGTAGTTTTGGATCATTTTCCTCAATAAATCAATGAATAAATCAATGATGTTTTGAGTCATTTATTTGAGTTCTCTTTATCAAGTTATGGGACTTTTATGTAAAACAGATCATATTTAGATCATAATTATGCAGAAAGGTTGAAAATTCCAAAGGATTTACATGCTGTTAAGGACCATTCTAACATTGCTGCTCTCCTATACACCCCAACAGTAACAGAAATCCAATTTATATGACGACGAGAGGGCCATTTCTGCTACTGCACCTTGACTGTACAATCCTTTGTCCTAGAGGCCAGTTTGGCATCCTCCGAATTGTGTTTAAAAATATGATATAGGCCTTTTATTTTTGGCTGCTGGTTGTTTCAATTGGTGTGTAAGGGAACACTTCACAGTCCATGTAGTGTAATAATTCAAGGAGGCATTGCAGCAAAGAAGGGCTTATCAGAGGATTAAAGAAGGAGGCAAAATGGAGAACTGTGAGAGTACTATGTCTAATACCATTATGTAATACAATCTTTTCAGTTATAATTTACTTTAAGAAAGGACACAACAGTTATAATAGACCAATTAGCAATGCCCCCTTCCTTTTCCTGAATGAGCTATTAAGTGTTCCCTGAAATACCAATTTCATTTTTTTAAAAAAATCTTAAGTTCATAAGACATGAAGACTTCATAACTCATGTATTGTTTGTTATTTTTGCCAATTTATTTTATTGTCAAAATTTCACCCAGTGTCATTTTTTCTTCTTCAGTGTTTCAATTGGAAGATGAATATTTTATATATATGTGAAGTTTTTACAATATATCTACTTACGATAGTTGCATTTAAAAATAGAAATGTGATTTTATTAGAGCAAAAGTGAAATATCAAATGCACAGAAAAAGAAATACACAAAGTTGCAGAAGGCTTTTCACATATAAAAAAGTCTAACTAGAAAACATAAGTGGAAAATGGAAATTTTATTGCAATGTCTGATAAACTGATACGTTTTTACAATTTATCTTAAATTTCAGTGAACATGTGTAGATTTATTAATATAATCTGAAAAAGTCATGGCTGAGTGTTAATTAATCAACAAATTGAAAAAATGCTTAGACCCAACATCATGTTTGCTAAACTCAAATGGAATATTATAGAACAATACAAAAGAGAACAGTGGTTATAATGAACATTGCTTGATCCCTCTTACTTTCTTGCAAATTCCTTTTCATGAGGCTTCTCTCCCTCTTGGTTTCAGAAGCAGGCAGGGATGGGGTTAAAAAAAATCAAAATTACCTGGGATGCACTTTTGCAAGGGAAAATAGATTAGGAAGGAATAAAGCCCCTTCTCAACAACTGTTTGTTGGGCAATTGCTCCTTATCCCCTGCAGTTATAAGAGGTTTCTGATTAAGAGCCCAATGTTTCTCATGTATGTAGTTTTGCCCTTAGTAGCTATTAGCATTATTCATATAGTGTCATCTGTGTGCAGGCATTTTACAAAGAATGAGAGGGCCTGTTCTCTTTTGAAGTGGATTACAGTACAGAAAATGACAGTAGGGAGACCACAGAAGAAGGAGGAAATAAAGGCAGGAATAAACATTAGAATATGAGACTATTGTAGCTGCATACTCCAATTTAATGGCAATAGAATCAACTGAGTGAGCATGACAACCACACAGTCTTCTGTCAAAGCATATTGACTTGATTTACATTTACATTAGAGCCATTGGGTACAATTTGGACAACGTTGGGTATTTTAAAACATTTTTGATTTCAATAAGAAATGGAAGGTTTATTAGTCCTCCCCACAGATTTCAATGAAAGCTCATAATGCTTTACATAAACAGTGACTGCAGTGTTTGAGATGAATGAGATCATTTCTTATCTGAATAGGTTCTTGATATAAAGATATATTCCAGCCCTGCATATTACAAAATATAGGTCAGTTCAACAGAGTAGAAGTCAAAGTGCAAACTCCTCCACATGAATTGTTAAGCTTATCCCTATTTTGAAAGCCATCAAAGAGGATTACTTACCTGTTCAAGCAAGAGGAGCTTTTCCTTTTACTCAAATTAACAAAGGTAGTCTTGCTGCTTCTTTAATGCTTTACTGGGCAACACTCTGCATTTCCATATTTGAAACCTGTTTATAAGAGACCCCCTGACCACTGTTCTTTTTACCTGGCAGCTTTTGGAATTAACACTGACATAGCATCTTGTAGTCCTAGAGAATAAGGGAAAGAAGCAGTCTACATAGCTGGTACCTGACTTAATTCAGTGGGATTTAGATGATCCTGTTCATGATCTTCCTGCTAATGTTATTAGCAACAGCTACTAATGAGTTCTAACTTGAATTGTATCAGGGGCAGCAAAGAAAACTTCCAAGCAAAATGTAGGCATTTCTCCCTCTGCTGGTATTTTTTGACAGCACAATAGCTTCTTGCTGCATTGTTGTCACTGTGTATATATTGTCTTTCTGCAAAATACACCAACCATATAATATTGCCAAGGTGGGAAAAATGGGCAGTATTTGCAAAACTGCTTGTGTTAATATTAAATTATTTAGCTTGCAGGTTGGTTATTAAATAATTTAACATATATGGCTTAAAAAGAAGTGGAAAATGTTTTTAAGGCAAGTCTGTCACTTCAGGCACTTTATTTTTTTTAGCAATAATAAAGAGACAAAAGGAGAATGAGGAACAAGGCTAAAGAAGAAACAATATTGATCTCAAGCTTAGTTTCATTAACCAAGGAGAGGAGGAAGTAGAAAAGCCCTTCAGAAGGAGAAAGGGAAGGTGTCCCAGAAGGCTGTGTAAACACTCTGCACAGTTGTGTCAGAGACACTTCTGCTGATATTTTGTGTTTTCCCTTCAATCTGCTGCTATTTTTATCCTATTTTTATAGGTAGACTAATTAATTCTACTCAGTAAACTGCCTAAGAACTATAGAAAATTCAGTCTGATCTTCTTCCACAGTTCTGAGAGGAAAGATGAAAAAAGAAAGTGTGAAACCATGAATTAAAAGTAATATGATTAAAAGGGATGGTGGTGTAAAAAGCAAGTAAAGGGTAATGAATGCTACCTAGATTAGTGGATGACAGGTACTTGATGTACAATGAGAGTAATCCAAAGTTTGTGTACAAGGTGCGAGATACAGTATGTTTCACCGAGGTAAAATGTAGCTTAATTTAAAAGGGATAAATGTAGGAACTGAAGACTTCTCTTGCAAACATGAAAGCAATATATGAATAATAAATGGTAATAAATTGACTTTTTATGTCATGTTTGGTTTGACATAAATGTTGATTTAAATATATTCATTTTAAAATAAGCACCATATGGTTCTAAATTAGCCAATTACTTAAATGGGATTTAACTGTAAAAGTTAAAGTATAATCCACAAAATATTTTTTGAAATACAAGTGACCAGCTTTTCTACTGTTGTAAGCTTGGCTGATCTAATAACATGTGATACCTTCGAAGAAGGATGAGTGATACCTTCGAAGAAGGATGAGTGGTATATCAAAATACTTTTTCCTGTTTTTTTCTTGATATAAAGTTGTGTATGCATTCTTCATGTATATCAATCCATTTTATACATACATGCTGATAATATAAAGTGGAGGACGTCTCAAATGAAATAAAGTATAAAATTAATATATTTTTTTAGCAAAAACAGAATTCAGGATTAAACCAGAGCAACCCCCAATAACAAATAAGAGCTGGCAAAATTGCTCACCCCTGGCTGTTATTAAAAGAAATATTGATACTTGATGTGAGAGCCAGTTATATCTATACATGATGGAAGCCATATCCCTTTTTAACATGCAAAACGCATAGTACATGGTCAAAAGGGGTGGAGCTTTGATCATGACACATCCTCTTGATATTTTTTAATCTCTTCCATCAAGACATCCTACTTGAGGTGGGGGATATTCTTTTTGTTTTGACCTTTTGTGTTCTGAACTATGTATGTTTAAAAATCTAACACAAGATCAATTTATGGAGATATAAAAATATGCCTTAAAATATTACTTTGTTCTTGTTTTTTTTATAGGTATCTGGCCTTCTGAAGAAATACTAGCTTACTACTGCCTCAAGCACCATGAAATTTTCAGGTATCAAACCAAGACATCAAAGACCATCTTCCATCCACTACTATTTTATTTGCCTAGTAAAATTTGCTAGGATTTAAATCCTAAGACTCAGTTTTTTAAAAAATTCAAGGTGAAAGCATATTGCTATTACAAAGAATTGGGAGCTGCCTTTGGGTACTAATATTGCATAGCAAGCTTTCTGCTATATGTCAAAGACTTTTGATTTCCACTCAAGGCATTTTCTTTCACTTTGATTTTTGGGAAACAAAAGTGAGGCATCAATCGATTGATAGTGATTGTGAAGTTTGGTAGAAAAATAAAGACATTCTTTACACTGACCTCTATTCTGAAAGTCAGCAAAATGTTCTCTTGGAAGATAGGTTGTAGTTTTAAAGGAAAACTCTGGCATCAGAGAACTCTGGTGTTGTCTCTTTTATCATTATGTTTCCATATATTTTTCATACTTATGCTTCATCAATTCCTCTGCTCTCCACCTTTCTAGGATTTCTTAGTTTTGTGGGTCTTAAGAATTAAAGTTTGGTGGAATCCCTAAAAATCTGTTTCTTAGTGACAGTCAGAAATACTGGGTTGAGGGGACTCATGTGAAACAAAAGCAGGTTGATTTTTATAGGCCCTTGCAAATAGTGTTTCTCACTGGTGATTCAAAAGATTCCACACATGTTCATACTGGTTCTTGTTGCCTAAATTGCCTGCCATGCTGTTCTGTGTAGCTGAGCAAAATTCTTAGTTAGTAACACTGTTCACAAATGCCAAATTTGGGGATGAGGGAGCAGATAGTTTGTTCTGATGCTACCATAGGTAGTATAGAAATAGAATAGAATAACAGAGTTGGAAGGGACCTTGGAGGTCCAACCCCCTGCTTAAGCAGGAAACCCTGTACCATTTCAGACAATGGTTATCCAATCTTTTCTTTAAAACTTTAAGCGTTGGAGCATTCACAACTTCTAGAGGCAAGTTGTTTCACTGATTAATTGTTCTAACAGTCAGGAAATTTCTCCTTAGTTCTAAGTTGCTTCTCTCCTTGATTAGTTTCCACCCATTGCTTCTTGTCCTGCCCCCAGGTGCTTTGGAGAAGAGATTGACCCCCACTCTTCTTTGTGGCAACCGCTGAGATTTCAGAACACTGCTATCATGTCACCCCTAGTCCTAGGTGAAAGTTAGCTGCCTCCCATCCTCCCTTTTTATTGTAAGTTTTGTTTGTTTGTTTGTTTAAAAAATAAGCTTTTTGTGACTTCATTTTTTTTGAAAGTACACCAAGATGGGATAAATGGCGGTCAGCTGGTTTTGTCAAGAGGGGTTCTGAAGCTGAAACCAAGATACATGGCAGAAATCTATAACAGGGCAACATACATTGCTCATCTTGTGGTGTTTAATCTTCAGGGCCAAATGTATTCATTCATCCCTTTTAAGGAACACAAACTCCTCCCCAACCCAGTTTCTGGCCAAAGTTTTTATAGCCTGCATCTTGCTCAATAACTTATCACTCAACATGCTTGTTAAGGAAAATTTGAGGAGTAGAGTAAGGTGGAGCCACTTTAACGGAAAATGATATTGTGGTAATCTGACTGTACCTTAAATTGGACTTGCAGCTTTTTCTCTCCAGTAGATGACATTGCCAAAAAGAAATCCTGTCACCATTCTCCAATAACTGTTGTTATATCATGTAAGGATCCTCCTTCATGCCAGCTGAGACTCTGAGCTAATAGGGTTAAAGATTCCAGCCATGTGTATGACAAAATTTCAGCCATGGTTCTGACTAAACAGATACAGAATCCTCTTCCAGGATAACCTCTTATAGGCAGTTTTGCAGATAAAGCCATGATTCTTGCAACTGACTGCGTGCTACAATAGTGCCAATGGGGAAACCAGCTTATTCTTCAGAGACAAATTGCATCCACCGATAACACTGTCATCACAGTTTGAAAGTTACATGGCCAGTTCATATAATCAATGGACCTGATGATCCAGCAAATAAAAAGGTCATCTTAGTAATGGCTAATATATGGATGACCCACTCTGCTGGCTGAGGAATTCTGGGAGTTGAAGTCCACAAGTCTTGAAATGGCCAAGGTTAAACTCCTAGCATACATGAGAGATAAATGAAATAATTAGCATATGAAGACTTCTAGATGGAATTTTGGAATTTTGAAAACTTGTTTGAAATCTTTGTGTATGAAAAAAGCAATAAATTCTATTTCTATATGAAGTTTGCCAGGTTCAGATCCTTGAATTCCTTTCTTGTACATTGTATGCTCCACATTGTTTTGGGTCATGCCAAAGATAGTTTGGCTGCTAGTTACAGTTATATTTTCCTTTCTCTTTTCAGCATTACTGTTTGGCTAGTGACTGTTAAAGGAGGTTTGAAAATTAGAGCTACAGGGCAGAAAACCCTAGAATGAAGGCCAAAGTGCTTGTTACAATTATAATCAAACGTGTGACAGGCATATTTTTGGAGTGTATTCTCAGCAACTGTGTATTGGAAATCTATTCCATTGCTGCTACTTCCCATTCACAGTTTATTGTTCAGATGTCCCACCTGGCCCTGGCCCTCTGCAATGTCCTTCCATGAATACTGCATTGTATTCTGTGGTGACATAATTTCTAACAGTACATACATTTTCTTATACAGCCTCCATGCTATACCCATACATGCAGTAAATCCAGCTTTAAAAAGCTCTTCTTAGGTTTTTTTCTTTACCCTTTTTCTTGGATCATCCTCCTCTGCTTCTTTGCATGATATTTTTATTAAAGAAAATAAATCCATATGCTCTCAGTTAACAGGCATTTTAAATTCCAATAACCTTGTTCCATCTGGGAAAGGTAATAATAAACAAGGGATGGACTGTTAAAATGATCAACTCGCTTTTCTTCAGCTGAATTTAGCAAGCCTCTCAATCCAAACAAGTAGCTGACTTTCAAAACAAAGTGCATCAGAAGAATAAAACATCATACTTCTAGGAAAGCAATACAGGATTCCAAAACAGAGATTGCCAGATAAGATATCATTCCTCAAAAGGGATTTTTCAAATAGTAAACAAAATTTATGAGTGGTGTCTGCCTACCTTTATGCTTGCCAGAATAGGCTTGTCTGCATAATTACAGAAAACCAGAAGAATATCCAATATACAACAAAGGTGCAGATTCAAAAAGAATTTACATCTACAACTCTGGGAGAAGCCCCAAAAGAACCTGAAAGTAAAATATATTATTTCAAATAAACAATAAATAAATAAGACAACAATTCTTAGTGTCCTGGTAACCACCATTCTCACCAGCCTTTACTTAGGTGATATTCTAGCTTGGATTTCATTTGCTTCAGCCAGTTCTTCTGTCACTAATCCCCTCCATTGCTCCTATGATGACCACCATTTTCTGCCTCCATCTCCCAATGGCAGTAACTTCTAAGAGAGATGTACTCACCAGTCACTACTACTTCTGTCATTGATGGTCAATGATGACCATGCAATAGTTTCTTTCATCCAACATCCAACTTCTATTTGGGGTCTTGCTTTCACATCCTTCACTGATCAGTCTTTCTTCTCTATTCCATGAGTGTTGACACACTTCTTTCCAATTCACTTCTCCAATCCTATTCATTATTCCTTCCACACAATCTGTATTCCTTCATCGTATCTGCATCACTGCTGCCTCCTGTAAAATAAAATAGAACAAAACAAACCCTCCATTATGGTCAACAATTCTCTAGAACATGCATGCATACATTACAGAAGAATGTATTTATTATTCAATTTAAATAATTTGCATGGCTGCCTAATTCACAAAAGTACAATTCCAGGCATTGTACAGCAATAAAACACCATTTCTTACTATGCTCAATAGCAAAACCAGCTAGAAATTAACAACAATAAAACATATACAGTATGTCATACCACCACACAATATACTACACCTTCCAGGACAAACTGATCTAACATCCTACCCAAATCTTAGAGAATATCCAGGCCTTCGAAGTCTTCCTGAAAACTAATAGGATTGGGAACAGTAAAATCTCAGTGGGGAGATCATTCCACACAGTGGTTGCCACAAAAGAAAACATTAAATCGGTAAATGTAAATTTAATTTAATATTTTTATAAAAACAGACTTCAAACATTTTTGTTAAAATAATAATAATTTTCTCTTTAATTGGACACAACGTACAGAATCCTTTGAAAATTCTAAGTAGCAGATGTGCTTTCCTAATCTGTTTAAGGGGCTTATGTGGTGTTTTTATGTTTTTCAATACTTGAAAAGAGAAAGATTCTCATTAGTAGGCATATACAAATGATGAGAAAGAGCCTAAAATTATAAGAATTTTTTAAAAATAAAACAGAATCAGAAGAACTCAATAAATCATTATTGTAAATTTCATTGGGGGCGGGGGGGGGGTGAGCTATATATAGGCATTTGTGGCATTGACTTTTTTATACCTCATAATAGCTAGAAATATTCTGTTTCTAAGAAATAAATTACATATCATTTGCATTTAAAGTTAACAAGAAATGAATAACTGGCATTATGTGAATAAGACAGCATGCTTCAATCTTGGACTATTATTGTTCTCTTACACAACTTCTTCTGCCTCTTCTGTAGTACCATACAGAGATCTGCAATCTTATGAATTATTGGCTGTGGATCTAGAACCAGACCCTGATGAAATCCAGATATCTATTTTTTCCCAAAAATTTTACACCATCACAGCTCTGGACTACCACTTTCATAAAGCATAAACTCTCAGAACTATGAAGGAGCAACCATCTTCACCCTCTGTATCTCACACAAAATATCTTAACTGAGTTGTCTCTTATTCCTCTGGGATGCATTCTCTCCCTCCTGGGAATCTGACCCGCTACATTCCATTACATCTAATTATTTGAGGGACTGCCTGTCTCCCATAATATCTGCCTAGCCAATATGATCTGGCAGGATTGGTGTATTCCTGGCTCCTTCAATTAATTGATTTGATTAATTGATACTGGGATATGGTTAGTATAAGAAGGG